AGAATAGTCTTAGAATAGGGGTGGGAGTAGGTTTAGCTTTAGTTAAATTTTTACTGAACTTCCACTTTAACTTATTTAATCCTTTTTGATTTGGTAAATATACCATTGAAAGTGTTTTGTTATAAATAAGTTCTTGCAGTACAGTCCCCATGGATACACCATGCTCACCCCTACTTGCCAACAGCAAGTTATACCTCCTTGTAGGAGACATCCCATCCAGCAAAAAGACAGCCCCTCCAGCAAAGAGACAGCCCTTCCAGCAAAGAGACAGCCCTCCAGCAAAGAGACATTTCATCCAGCAAAGAGACAGCCCATCCAGCAAAGAGACAGCTCATCCAGCAAAGAGACAGCCCATCCAGCAAAGAGACAGCTCATTCAGCAAAGAGACAGCTCATTCAGCAAAGAGACAGCCCATCCAGCAAAGAGACAGCTCATCCAGCAAAGAGACAGCTCATCCAGCAAATAGACAGCTCCTCCAGCAAAGAGACATCTCATCCAGCAAAGATACAACCAATCTAGCAAAGAGACAAACCGTCCAGCAGAGATAGCTCCATCCACCACTGCTACAGACCTGTCACAGTGTGCCGGTGGGTGAAGAAGAGAGGTCTCCGTTCTCCCTTCAGTGCCGAGGAGGTGTCCGTGTGTCAGCGATGCTTCCTGCTGGTCTTCAGGAGCCATCACTGCTGTCGGCCCTGCTTTGGGCATAGCCGCAGAGCGGGAGGTGAGCAGTGGCCATGGTCTATATTAGGCCCGTCCAGACCGCGGTCGCCGCATACCTCCTGCTGTGCGGCCCGGTTATTCTAAGCCTGGCGGCCCCGACCCACTGGGCAAATGCCCAGTGTGCCCTATGGCCAGTCCAGGCTTGGAGCAAGTGACAGGAGAGAGATCTGTGTTGGTAAACAACATAGATCTTTCTGATGACAGCAGGGACGTGCTGGTTTTTGTCTCACTGTAAAGCAAAATGGTCACATCCCTTAGTAAAACTGTACATATTGCACACATTACACAGTTAGGCACACAGTTATCCCTTTGACTGCACCAGATGTTAACCCCTTCCTGCCCAGTGTTATTAGTATAATGTCAGTGCATTTTATTAGCACTGATCACTGTATTCATGTCACTGGTGCTGCCAGTTTCAATTTGCCAGTGTTAGAATGCCCGTTGTACTATCAAAGTTCTGCTATAATTTGCTGACCACCGCCATTACTAGTATATAAAAAACAAATTATAGTATATATACCATCATTTGAAGACATTTGTATAACTTTCATGCAAACCAATTAATATACAGTTATTGGGATTTTTTTTTTTTTACCAAAGACATGTAGCAGAATACATTTTGGCCTTAATTTATGAAGAAATTAAATTTTTTTATTGGATATATATAGCTAAAAGTAAAAAAAATTTTTTTTTTTTTCAAAATGTTTGGTCTTTTTTAATTTATAGCTCAAACAAAAAAAAACCCAGTGGTGATCAAATACCAACAAAAGATAGCTCTATTTGTGTGAAAATATGATATACATTTCATTTGTCTACAGTGTTGCATGACCGTTCAGTTGTCAGTTAAAGTAGCGCAGTGGCATGTAGCAAAAGATGTCCTGGTCATGAAGGGGGGGGTAAATCTTCCGAAGGGCAAGTAGTTAATGTATATGAATCCTGGACAAATTATTTCTTGTAAGCCTGTGGTGTTTTAAGGATGTGGCATGGCCCTATATTGTTCTTTATTGATTTTCCATTACCTGATTATTTACTGTGCAACCAATTTTCAATGATTTATGTTCTTTAAAAATCTCAAATAAAAATTTATTGAAAGAGAAAGTGTATTGTTAAAAGTGGCTATTGATCATGCCAGGAATCTACTGTGCTTTTTACGTTTGCTTTGCTGTTATCATGTAATATTGTCCCGGAACACATCTCCCCTTATGAAGAAGAGGAGAGGGGAAAGTGTTCTTTAATCCTGTCCTAGAGTGACAATGCTGCTTCTCCATAGATACAATATGGTGAATGTGCATTGTCACCTTAAGACAGGAAGGGGTTTATTTACTAAAGCTGGAGAGTTCAAAATCAGACTCCCTTCTGCATAGAAACCAATCAGCTTTTAACCTCAGCTTGTTCAATGAAGCTTTGGCAATGAAACCTGGAAGCTGATTGGTTTCTATGCAGAAGGGAGTCTGATTTTGGACTCTCCAGCTTTAGTAAATAAACCCCGAAGTGTATGAAGTCTAAAAAAAAAAAAAAAAAAAAAAAAAAAGGAAAAACAAAGGTAACTAATGCAGTCACCACATCTATGAGCTGGTAAGCTACAATGCATTACATTTTTGTTTTTGGGTTTAGCTATGCTTTAACCACTTGACTTCTGGAAGGCTTTACCCCCCTTTATGACCGGAGTATTTTTTTTGCTATTCAGCACTGTGTCACTTTAATTGGCAATTGTGTGGTCATGTAAAACTGCATGCTCATGAAATTCATATAATTTTTTCACACAAATAGAGCTTTCTTTTGGTGGTATTTGAACACTACTGCTTTTTTATTATGTACATGAAAAAGACTAAAAATTTGGAAAAAATAAATATTTTTACTTTCTGTTATAAAATATATCCAATAAAAAAATGTAAAAATCACGTCTTCATAAATTGAGGCCAACATGTATTCTGCTACATTTTCTTGGTAAAGAAAAATTTTTAATAAAATATATATATACATACATACATACATACATTTATATACATATATATAAAACTTTATGCAGCTATGACACTGTACTGGTAATGGCAGTGATCAGCTACTTAGAGTGGGGCTGTGATAGTGTGGCGGGAAAACTGGTGCTAGCTGACACTGGCTGGGAGGTACACTAAAAACAGCCAGATTGCTGTTCCCTGTACACAGAGAACTGTGTTTTGTAAACACAGAACCCTGCGTGTGATTGGACACAGCCAATCAGCTGATTTCAGCCATAATCATTGGCTGAAATCAACTGCCAAAATCATGATGTGTCCAATCACAGCACGAGTCGGCAGGGGGCATATATGTACTCACCCCAAACCCTGAAGAAGGCAAATCATGAATATACATGACTGCCTTTGCTGCCTTGCTGCAGTAAATGTACAGTGGTGGGGTGGCAAGTGAATAAAGGATTAAAGTAATAGCAAAGTGCTTTTATTGATTTACACCTTCAGGTAAACTTATAATAAGGCTTACCTGTAGGAACAGTGAATATCTCCTAAATGTGCACCATTTAGGAGATATTCACTTTAGTAGCAGCTGGTGACATCACCGGCACATGCACACTGCGCTCTCAATGGATGGCTGTCCTGTGCCCTGGCTCCCGTGTGCATGTGCAGGAGTGACGTCATTGTGGCTCAGTTATTCAAACAGCCAGAGCTGCTGGAGGGCTCCTTTTTAAAGGTACCATGCTTTTCGCTCCATAAGACGCACCTGACCATAAGACGCACCTAGATTTTAGATGTGGAAATCAAGAAAAAAAATATTCTGAACCAATGGACTACAGGCATAGTACAGGAGATGACCAGAGACTGCAGACATAGTACAGGAGATGACCAGAGACTGCAGACATAGTACAGGAGCTGATCAGAGACTGCGGACACAGTACAGGAGATGACCAGAGACTGCGGGACAGTACAGGAGATGACCAGAGACTGTGGACACAGTACAGGAGATGACCAGAGACTGCAGACAGTACAGGAGATGATCAGAGACTGCGGACATAGTACAGGAGATGACCAGAGACTGCGAATATGGTACAGGAGATGGTCAGAGACTGCAGATATAGTACAGAAGATGACCAGAGACTGCGGACATATATATAGGAGATGACCAGAGACTGCAGATACAGTACAGGAGATGACCAGAGACTGCGGACATAGTATAGGAGATGACCAGAGACTGCGGACATAGTACAGGAGATGACCAGAGACTGCGGACATAGTACAGGAGATGAGCAGAGACTGCGGACACAGTACAGGAGATGACCAGAGACTGCGGACATAGTACAGGAGATGACGGAGACTGCGGACATAGTACAGGAGATGACCAGAGACTGCGGACATAGTACAGGAGATGAGCGGAGACTGCGGACACAGTACAGGAGATGACCGGAGACTGCGGACATAGTACAGGAGATGACCAGAGACTGCGGACACAGTACAGGAGATGACCAGAGACTGCAGACATAGTACAGGAGCTGATCAGAGACTGCGGACATAGTACAGAAGATGACCAGAGACTGCGAATATGGTACAGGAGATGTCAGAGACTGCGGATATAGTACAGGAGATGACCAGAGACTGCGGACATATATATAGGAGATGGTCAGAGACTGTGCAGACAGTACAGGAGATGACCAGAGACTGCGGACATTATATAGTACAGGAGATGACCAGAGACTGCGGACACAGTACAGGATGACCAGAGACTGCGGACATAGTACAGGAGATGACCAGAGACTGCGGACATAGTACAGGAGATGACCAGAGACTGCGGACATAGTACAGGAGATGAGCGGAGACTGCGGACATGGTACCGGAGATGACCAGAGACTGCGGACATAGTACAGGAGATGACCAGAGACTGCGGACACAGTACAGGAGATGACCAGAGACTGTGGACACAGTACAGAAGATGACCAGAGACTGTGGACACAGTACAGGAGATGACCAGAGACTGCGGACATAGTACAGGAGATGACCAGAGACTGCGGACATAGTACAGGAGATGACCAGAGACTGCGGACATAGTACAGGAGATGAGCGGAGACTGCAGACATGGTACCGGAGATGACCAGAGACTGCGGACATAGTACAGGAGATGACCAGAGACTGCGGACACAGTACAGGAGATGACCAGAGACTGCGGACAGTACAGGAGATGACCAGAGACTGTGGACACAGTACAGGAGATGACCAGAGACTGCGGACATAGTACAGGAGATGACCAGAGACTGCGGACATAGTACAGGAGATGACCAGAGACTGCGGACATAGTACAGGAGATGAGCGGAGACTGCGGACATGGTACCGGAGATGACCAGAGACTGCGGACATAGTACAGGAGATGACCAGAGACTGCAGGGACACAGTACAGGAGATGACCAGAGACTGCGGACAGTACAGGAGATGACCAGAGACTGTGGACACAGTACAGGAGATGACCAGAGACTGCGGACATAGTACAGGAGATGACCAGAGACTGCGGACATAGTACAGGAGATGACCAGAGACTGCGGATATAGTACAGGAGATGAGCGGAGACTGCGGACATGGTACCGGAGATGACCAGAGACTGCGGACACGGTGCAGGAGATGACCAGAGACTGCGGACACGGTACAGGAGATGACCAGAGACTGCAGACACGGTACAGGAGATGACCAGAGACTGCGGACACGGTACAGATGACCAGAGACTGCGGACATGGTACATGAGATGACCAGAGACTGCGGACATGGTACATGAGATGACCAGAGACTGCGGACACAGTACAGGAGATGATCAGAGACTGCGGACACGGTACAGGAGATGACCAGAGACTGCGGACATAGTACAGGAGATGACCAGAGACTGCAGATACGGTACAGGAGATGACCAGAGACTGCGGACACGGTACAGGAGATGACCAGAGACTGCAGACACGTTACAGGGGACAACCAGAGACTGTGGACATGGTACAGGAGATGACCAGAGACTGCGGACACAGTACAGGAGATGACCAGAGACTGCGGACATAGTACAGGAGATGACCAGAGACTGCGGACACAGTACAGGAGATGACCAGAGACTGCGGACATAGTACAGGAGATGACCAGAGATGCGGACACAGTACAGAAGACCAGAGACTGCGGACACAGTACAGAAGACCAGAGACTGCGGACATAGTACAGGAGATGACCATAGACTGCGGACACAGTACTGAAGACCAGAGACTGTGGACCTTTGGGGAGCGGGTACTCGAATTTGACAGGTACCCAATCCCACTTCCATGGAGTTGTCCTTTCCCCTCCTTCCCTGTAATTTTCTGAGACACGTGACAGGGCCATTCACAAAGAGCGGCGCTTGTTGCGCATGCACAGTGGGCACCCGGCTGTGATGCCACAAGCTGTCACAGCCGGGTGCCAATGCCAGAGTCGGGAAGAAAAGACTGAGGACACCGCTGAATTGAGGAACAGGTAAGATCACTGGAGGTCTGCAAAGAAGAGTCAAGCGGCCGGCCTGGCAATTTAACACAGGGGGAATATCGGGCCTGCCGCTCGATATTCGCTCCATGAGACGCACAGACATTTCCCCCCATTTTTTTGGGGGGAAAAAGGTGCGTCTTATGGAGCGAAAAATACGGTAAGTCTTTTATAATGCGATGCATACTAGCACATTATACTTTTAACTTGCAGGGAAAAGATTTTGTTTTTCACCTTTTTTTTTTCAGTTTACTACCACTTTAAGAGAGTGTTATTGAACCGAAAGACTCAATACCCACAAATAGTGAAGTGTTTGCTTCTCTTTGCAGAGGGGTGCTGACCGTAGCAACTTTCATTGCTTGCAGGATCAAATCATTACACACACACTCACATATAAATTATGGGCTTTTTTTAACTGCTGATTTTTTTTATAAGCTTTTTGACTCATCTTTTTTAATGCATACTGACAATATGACATTTTGAACAAGAACCAGAAAACTAGATTGTAATAGAGTGAAAAATAAAGCTTGTACAAATAACTTACATTGTAACAATAGATCAGAATGGTGTCAGCAACCAATACACTGTAATCATCCTGGGATGTAAAGGCAAAAAGTTAAAGGGAATGTGAATTACAATGTTGGTTTATTTTCTGAGAGTTTCTTTTGAATGAGATGCTGTACCTGCATGAAACACAGGGAAAGAACAACCCGATCCTTTTTTAAAAATGCAGCTGCATGGAACACAGCTTTCACATACAAGAAAATGCACTGTGTTTTCCAATACATGAGGTTGCCATGAAGAAGTATTAGCATCCCTGTGCATCTGCAGAAGAGCAGTGCAATTTGCCTTGCAGTTTTGCAATGCATGTGATTATGCATGAGTTTCCATTAGCATTAGGGTACCACTTTGGGGTGGTCAATACAGCTTATGTAGTTTCAGCTTCCAAAAGCTATCACCATTTTTTGGCAACTGGGATAGATTCCAACATTTGAAATATCACCTGACTTAGACTAAGATATATATATCTTTCTAAATATATACGTATATACACACACTATATTGGCAAAAGTATTGGGATGCCTGCCTTTACACGCACATGAATTTTAATGGGATCCCAGTCTTAGTACGTAGGGTTCAATATTGAGTTGGGCCCACCCTTTGCAGATATAACAGCTTCAACTCTTCTGGGAAGGCTGTCCACAAGGTTTAGGAGTGTGTCTATGGGAATGTTTGACCATTCTTCCAGAAGAGCATTTGTGAGGTCAGGCACTGATGTTGGACGAGAAGGCCTGGCTCGCAGTCTCTGCTCTAATCCATCCCAAAGGTGTTCTACCGGGTTGAGGTCAGGACTCTGTGCAGGCCAGTAAAGTTTCTCCACCCCAAACTCACTCATCCAGGCCAGTAAAGTTTCTCCACCCCAAACTCACTCATCCATGTCTTTATGGACCTTGCTTTATGCACTGGTGCGCAGTCATGTTGGAACAGGAAGGGGCCGTCCCCAAACTGTTCCCATGAAGTTAGAAGCATGAAATTGTGCAAAATGTCTTGGTATGCGAATGCATTAAAAGTTCCCTTCACTGGAACTAATGGGCCAAGCCCAACCCCTGAAAAACAACCCCACAATCCCCCTCCACCAAACTTTACACTTGGCACAATGCAGTCAGACAAGTATTGTTCTTCTGGCAACTGCCAAACCCAGACACATCCATAGGATTTCCAGACAGAGAAGCATGATTTGTCATTCCAGAGAACATGTCTCCACTGCTCTAAAGTCCAGTGGCAGCGTGCTTTACACCACTGCATCCGATGCTTTGCATTGCACTTGGTGATGTAAGGCTTGGATGCAGCTGCTTGGCCATGAAAACTCATTCCATGAAGCTTTCTATGCACTGTTGTTGTGCTAATCTGAAGGCCACACAAAGTTTGGAGGTCTTTAGCTATTGACTCTGCAGACAGTTGGCTACTTCTGCACACTGTGCGATTCAGCATGCTCTGACCCCGCTCTGTCATTTTACATGGCCTACCACTTTGTGGCTGAGTTACTGTTGTTCCCAATTGCTTCTACTTTGTTATAATACCACTAACAGTTGACTGTGGAATATTTAGTAGCAAGGACATTTCACAGATGGACTTATTGCACAGGTGGCAATCTATCACGGTACCACACTTGAATTCACTGAGCTCCTGAGAGTCACCCATTCTTCCACAAATGTTTTTAGAAGCATTCTGCTTGCCTAGGTGCTTGATTTTTATACACATGTGGGCATGGAGGTGATTGGAACACCTGACTCCAATGATTTGGAGGGGTGTCCCTACACTTTTGACAATATAGTGTATATATATATATATATATATATATCTTTGAAGTATCTCTATGGCCTTGTTTATGTAGGGGAGATAACCAGACTTTAAGGTCTCATGCACACAGGCACACGAGGGGCATATATCACATTCAGGCATTTTTCTGCACCTGGGACACACAGGTGCTGCATACAGTCACCGATAGAAATGAATGACTGTGAGCAGCTGTAAGCAGTTATATATGCTGTTTTTTTTGTAAACACACATATAGACATATTCCCTAAATGCAAAAGTCTCAATACCTCAATAATATGGTCTCAATAATGTGGATGTATTCCCTGAACCCAGAAATATCCATTATATGTAAGTTTATGTGATTCTGGAGCATACCCTCAGGCAAATGTACACAGACATTCATTTCTTTGGGCGGCTGTATGCAGAACCTATGCTTCCCAAGTGTCAGTGAGAAAAATGCCCTTATTTTACATTGTACACCCCTCATGTGCATGTGTCATAATATTTACAACAAAATGGTCATTATATGGGTATCCTTAAACCAAGAGGTATTCTTTCATGTGTTCTTATCTGTACCTATAAAAAGTATGATCTTTACTTTAAGATCTTAAAGTATGTAAAGCTAACATATTTTTAAAGATTTGGGTAAAGCATGATGGTGTTAAAGCCCTTGTCAGGTTTTTATTGCTGTTTACATCCCCTATGGAGTGATTCACTCTCACCTGTGGTCCTGGTGACCGTTGTCTCCAGTAAAGAAAGTGAGGGAACTGTCTCAGAGGGGATATCCCCTCATTTTAGAGAGATCTCCTCTTACGTCCTCTTGGACAGGTATTAAAGAAGAAGTAAAAACTTAAAAAAAAACAAACTTTCATACTCACTTCTATGCTGCAGTATCAGAGGCATACTGCAACTGTCCCACATCGGCTCAAAGCCCAAGAACTGAGTGACCATATGACCACTAGTCACACAGTTCTAGGTCTCCTCGGAGTGGAGAGCAGCAACTGTCAGTCACCGTCTCTCTACTCTGTTCCTCCATTGCTCACTGGAGTGCCGGATAGGGGAGTGGGCGGGCACAGCTAGCTCCTGCTCTCAGCTGTGCGTTGAGCCACAATCAGGCAGCTGGGGGGAGCTGGACAATATTGTCAGGATTCTTCCAGAGCCTGGAGCTGCTCTGCCTCATCAGCTTATAGAGGGATATAACCCTCTGTCAGCTGACTCTGGGTCACAGGAGAGCAAACGTAACTGTACTGCTATGACCCACAAGAGAAAAAAAACTTTGGTCACACTTCCCTTGTAAAGGGAAATTCCCTCCAAAAGAACCCGGACAGGAAAGACATGCTAACAGGGGTCTTAACTATTCCCTATTCTGTCCAAAACTAAAAAAAAAAACAGATGTAGCTTTAAATATGCTTAATTGTAGATTGTTTTAGATTCTATATTAGGTTGCTTAGTGTTTGGGTTCAGCAATACCTATGATCTAAGTAGTATTTCAGGTACAGAACAGTACACAGTTTGATATAGGACTTGGTAATTCAAAGTGTTCTTTATTGCAGAAAACAGTTTGATTAAAAGTATTGGGCATTACGTGATGCACAAAGTAACCCTCAGACAGTGGAAGGCTTGCCTGGAGGGGCAATCAGAATAGAAGGCCTGTGTAATACTGTGGAAAGGTGGGCAGATGTCTCATGGAGCACAGCAGATGGTGAGACATCTGTCCAACATTGTACACACTTCTGTGCTGCAAGGACTCATCACAATCTTGTCTGTGAAGAAGTGTGATGAAATAATTAAGGTGTATCTAAAGCCATTGATAGTGTGAAAGGGTTAGAAACTCTTTTAGGTCTGTATTGCTTTCTGTGTCCCTGCTGTCTCCTGTCAACCACAGACATCATGTAAGGACTATATGGGCTTACAGATGGGCTTCCATCTCATGCTACTGAACTTCTTAGGGGTCCCCATTCACTGAACTGTGAGTGTCTGACCCACAAATCAGATTGCTGGCTAAGCGTAATTTTATTTTTTTACACGATGTCCCTTGGAAACTTTGCCACCTTTCTCATCTTGATATTCCTCCCTTGTTCATGAGAATTAATCAGATATCCCCTTTCAACAATTTATTGTATTGAAACAAAAGAAGGATAATCATGGTAGAGGTGATGTTTATTTGTGTGCTTTGCATCTGTTTATCCTAAATGTAGACAATAAGTAGAGCAGAATAGAAAAGATACCTTTCTTTCTTATCCTAACCAGTTCATTTCCCTTTCTTTATATAGG